AGAGGAATGGATGAGTGCATCAGATTTTCTAGTCATGGATTAGATCAGTGGTGGTAAATTTATGGGTGGGCAGAAGCAGGCACTCTGACATTGAGCGCAGGGCAAGAACTGTTCAGAACAGAACTGTGTGTCAAGTGCATTTACTCAGAGCCAGGCCCTTTCTACATGGTAGCCAATCTGTTACAAATACAGATTTCTTTGCTAACCACATGGTCTTTCATTTCTTTGAATGCTAGGATACAATTAGTTTCTTGCAATCTAGGTGCCTGCAGTACACTGAAGAGTTGCTTCCCAGCAGAAGTAATTACTTTAAGTCTAAAAAATTAGTTACAAAGTCTGTCAAGTTGTACCTACCTACAGGTCATGTCCATTGCAACCGAAACCCTTTGTGCACAAGAGTCACATCCACAGGCCCACAGTTCCACTCCGCTCCAGGTTGATCAGTAAGTGCCACTTTAACAGCATCTTTTCCACTTGCCTCTTGGCTAGAGGAAAGCAATAGTATGATGTTCAGTGATGCAGCAGATGTTTCAAAGTCCTCATCAACAAGGAGATTACCCTCGTACCCAAATTAGGCAAAAAGAAATGTCCAAGCCAGGTTTGAATTGGCTAAGAAAGTTTTGGGATTAAACCACATGGGGAGGCCTCCTGTGATACTGGGTTTTAACCAAAGTTTTATGGTCTTTTATTTGTCTGGTGCCTGTTCCGCTCCTAAAACACCTAGTGCAAGGAGCAGATTGGGAGAGAAAATACAGTTGGACGATGCACTGGGTTTTCTGTAGAGGAATTGTTTACCTTTGCATTGCTTACTTGCCTCCTGTCTTCTGATTTACTGTGACCTGCAAGGGAACATTCCTCTACCACAGCCAAGGCATTCAGGTGGAGCTAATTGAGTAATTAAATTATCAGGTGATGGAAGTAAAAATCTTATCCACACAGTGGATGGATTTAGCAATCTGACTCCTTTTAGCTTGACTTACTATTATGTAATGTGTGTGTTGCTACATAGGTGCACGCTCTGTGCAAAACAGAGGTAAGCAGCTGTTCTGATGTGTGCTTTAGCTGACGTGAAGAAGGTGGCAGCTGGGGTTTCTGAGGATAAACTGTGAATGTGGACAGTCCATTTAATAGAACTTCCCAACTCCTCCTTTCTTGGAAGTCTCCTGTCAGGAGTTGGTAGCTGTGGCTGAGCTAATGAACACATGAAAAAACCTTTCTTTCCAGTCAGGTGCATTTCACCTCTATCCATCGAGGAGTGCACAAAGCTAGGCAGTGTCCAAGTGCTGGTGGGCTAATACAGAATTGCAAAGGGAAGCAAATTCCATTTTGTTGAAGAATAACAAAGATGATGATCTGGCTGAAGATCCGTTTGGTACGACAAGCAGCGGCAATCTAAGATGTATGTGTTTTCTGAGAACGTCGCAGGGATGTGACGTTTGTCTATGCCAGCTGTCCATTTTGGCAATTCTGGGAATGATAAAAGCACATCAGAATTCTAGCTCCCTCTTCCTGTACAGAACTACTACTACACAGATCATTGTTTTAGCTGCAAGATTGGTAGTAGTAAAAAAACACGTGTCCACAGCGATGCTGTCGTTATTAAACAGGTAGGGGACAGGGCATTAGAAATGCTGTTGTAACAGAAAACACAGGGAGACCTGAAACCCTGGAATGGAGGGCTGAAAAGGATGCAACATGCTTACCGGGACAAACTTCTGCATTGAGGTTAGACCAGGGTGTAATGGAGAAAATGTTGCTGCTGGATAGATCTGCTTTGCTCCCACAGCAGGAGTTCTGCGTGTTGGTCTGATCACATAATCTCAGACTGTATTAGTATAGAGGAGAGAGAGCTGAGTCTCTTTTGGCTTTGTAGAAAGGTTTGTTTTTAAATTAAAGAGGATGTTGCAAAAGGTCATGAACATTGACTCTGCAAGTTAAAATAGGTTGTTTCCTTCCCTTTTATTGAAGTACAGAAGGTCTTAAAAGAGTCTATGTGTTTCTGCCCTATCGAAATTCTCAAGGGAAGGTAATTCTGAGGGGGTGTCCAGACTCAGTATGGTCCAGTATGCCTTAAAGCTGAGGGAGGGACTAGCCCTGGTCATCTCTCCTGTTGGGGAGAATGTATAGTAGGCATGAAGTTCCTAGGACCAATATTATAGTAAGACTATGTGCTCTTGTATCTGTGAGCAGGCTGTCTAGGCATTACTGTTACTATCATCCATGGAGAGTAAAGGGCAAGAGCCTGCCTGAGGTTCATGGACTAGACTTGGTGGCAACGTTTCTCCTTAGGCAAGTGGTGGCTTGAGAAGCTGTGCAAAGGTAGGTAACAAGTTAATCTGCAGGAAGACTCTTGTATCCAACCTGGTTTTCTCCTATCCAGCTTGCCCAGAAACAAAAAGATAGTGACAAAAATCTACTTTATGTTGTATAAATCTCAAATAGTAATTTTCGCCTCTGTTTTTTGTGGCTGTCTTTCAGTGAAATCTGATGAAGACGTTTATTTGACACTTGACATTTAAATGAGCCCATATTCCAGTATGTTAGGATGTCCGCTTTATTTTTGATCGAAAAGTTCTCCCATTTTCTTATCTCCGTGGAGCCTGATCACATAAACGAGTCTCCTAGTGCACTTGGGTTTTTAATTAAAAAAAAAAAAAAAAGGGAGGTCATTCTGCCATTCTTCACCCCGAGTTTTTCAATGCTGTCTTTCAGTTGTGGACCCTGGAGGTAGACTCAGGCTCCAGTGTCATTTTCATCGGTATCAGGCCTAGAAGGGAAAATACTCCCTGTGGGTTAAGGTATTGCAGGGCTGCGATCAGACCCCTTCCTTGGAGACCCCTTCCTTGGGAATGCCTCTGCGTGGCTCAGCCTCGGAATAGAGGAACCAATTAACTAATTTACTGATTCCTACATGTTTGGTCTTCAGACATAAAGCTTATCTGGAAGTTGCACTAAACTTTAATCGAGAATCAAAACCATGAGTTCTCAGCAAGCTCTGCTAGTCCTCCCTACATCCAAGGAGTTGATAATGTTACTGAGAAACTGCGTACCTGCAGAAATCACTTACTCCTCATGGGAGAGGAGAAACAAATAAGCAGAGAAGTCAAACTAGCAGCAAGCCTGTTTTTATTCTACCAGGCAGGAGATTAATTGGATTACTTTGAGGCCTGACCTCCAATTTTGTATCCAAAGGTCATGGCTCATGTTGAAGAGATCAATTAATATATCAGCATATCAGGCTCAACACAGAAATGCCATCCAAATAGTGTACAGGAAACCTTTGTGTACTGTGTATTTGCCCTAGCAGATAGTTAATCTGGGTTACTGTTTGCTACCTGTTCTGTTTCTCTTGCTCAAGAGTGTTAGCAAATGTTTACCCCACCCCAAGAAAATGCAGGCTAACCCCGGAGCAACTCTGGGCTGCAAATCATGTTGCAGGCTGAACTCCAGTCAGAGGAGTTTCTTTACTGATGGTGGCAGAGGTGTAGAAAACGTCTTGAGAATGATCTGCCAAACGAGGGAAAGGGCCTTTAACCAAAGAATAGGAAATCAGAAGAAAGGAGATAGATACAGCACAGCACTTTGACTTACCTGAAAGCACTCAACAAATTGAATACCAAAGTGAATAGTCTATTTAGACCAGTAGAAGCAAAAAGCAGGCTTGTGAATAGCAGGAACCATGTGTCCACTAATAGCCCCTGGTGGAAACA